ACTCTCCGAAACCTGAAGCCCACTAGCGCCAAGTTCTCCCCTAAGAACATGCGAGGGTGATTGCGCTCGCGCCGCCATCATCAAGGGGCGCGCGGTTGCTGGAGGCCGCACCTTGACATCGAAACCGAAGAACATGGAGGGTCCTGCCCGTGCCGCGGACGCGCGAGCCCTGGGGCCCACGTGCGTACGTAGCCTCAATCAAGCCTGCACCCGCACGCCCTAAGCCCCGCAGCCCGAAGCCCACCAACGCCAAACCGTCCCCTAAGAACATGCGAGGGTGATTGCAATCGCACCGCCATCATGAAGGGGCACGCGGTTGCTGAAGGCCGCACCGTGACTTCGGGACCGAAGAACATGGAGGGTCCCGCCCCCGCCGCGGACGCTCGTAGCCGAATCGTGAGCCCCGAAACCCAGCTTTGTCAGAACGAAGGACTAATGGCGCCAAACTGAAGAACATCGAGGATACCCTCCCCCAGGGTGCACAAGAACATGGAACAAAAACGAAGAACATAAGGGTACCCTCCCCGAACCACCGAAGTTCTTAAGCCTTGTGCCGGCCGCACTTCTCTACCCGAGTCAGAAAACCGAAATGCAAGTTCGATATTGAGAAACAAGTTGCCCTGACGCCCGCCCCTGGTAACAGGTTCCCAACGCAGCAGAGACCAGGCTAACATTCGCAGCCCCCTGTCTCAGGGTTGCAGGACAGCGTCCGGTTTAAGAATGCGTTCGCCCCCCTTTCCCTTTTTTGGGGAGCTAACGCATCAGCCACTTTATCCTAGACCCCAAGACTTGAACGACAACAATCGGTATCGCGAATTTTCTGGATGTCAATGCTCAGGAAAAGGGGAGGGCTCGATTTCTTAATCTTGCGGGCACTCCAAAAAGATTACTTTCCTGGCTGGCCAGCCCAGGGAAGGGCGACTTGTTCTTCGCACGGGCCGCGACATGAGTCGCACTCTGTGGCGAGATGCCGCGCGGCAAATGTCGACGCAAAAATCCCGAACGCAAGACGCAAGAAGTGCCAAGGGGCGGAAGAGAACACAAGAATGCAGAGAAAGACGGACCCATATTGCCTCAAGACGGCCCGAAACAGCCTCAAGACGAGTAAAGAGGCCCCCAGAGCGGCCCAAGAGGTTCCAAGATGTCGTCATGGGGGGCATCGCGCATGGGGAAGACTCCCAACGGGGCCACCCTCACGGCCATCCATGCGGGTTTCGGGGGGGGCCCACGGGGATCGACCGATGGCCCCCCCCGGAGGGCAAGCTCCGGGGGGGGAACCACCGGGGAACACGGCGGAGCAATGAATATCGGGGGCGCGCTGGAAGGGAGCCTGCGAAGGGCAACATGCGGGCCGCCCGCGGAGATGTGGGGGCACTGGGAATCCGCCCACTCCACAGACCTGCAAATGAATCTCCAGAGAGTCGTCCGGAGGAGGGGCCGCGCAAGCGACCTCTCCAGCAAATCTCCCGGAAATCTCAAGGAAATCTTCCGGAAATCCCGGGGGGCGGCAGAAATCTCCAAAAAATCTTCCGGAAATCTTCCGGAAATCTCCCGGCAACACAAAATCTTCCGGAAATCTTCCGGAAATCTCCCGGCAACACAAAATCTTCCGGAAATCTTCCGGAAATCTCCCGGCAACACAAAATCTCACGGAAATCTTCCGGAAATCTTCCGGAAATCTTCCGGAAATCTCAGGAAATTTTCCGGAAATCTCCAGGAAATCTTCCGGACGAAAAAACCCTGAACTCCCCGAGCGAATGTGCCGAAAATCCCCGGGGGCTTACCACCCGACAGCGCCCGAGATCCTGTGGCGAAGCCGAACCTCCCAGAAATCCTCCGGAAATCTCCAGGAATTCTGCCGGAAATCGCGGGGGCACCAAAAATCTCAAAAATTAGCCTGGCGAAGAACCCAACCATATGCAGTTGTCAGTACCGCAGCTGCGGGCTTCATCTTCAAAGGAACTCCCCATAGGACCACGGAACGTGTGAGGGGTGTGCCGAGATGGGTGCCACTGGAGCATTCGGTGAAGCTCCCTATGGGGGCATGAAGCACGCGCGGGGCGTGCCGACATGGGTGGCGGAAACGCATGTGAGGGCCGCCACTGGGGCCTCCAAGGGAGCTCCCTATGGGTCCCCAAAACATGATGCTATGCTGCTGAGGGGGGGGGTGCCGGGATGGGTGGCGGAGACGCATGTAAGCGCCGCTACTGGGGCCTTCGGTGGAGCTCCCTATGGAGCCACGAAGCGCGCGAGGGGTGTACTGTGAGCGCCGCCACTGGGGCCTCCGGTGCAGCTCCCTACGAGGCCACGAAACGTGTGAGGGGTGTGCCGAATTAGGTGCGGGTGGTGACGCATGCGGGCGGTGCCACTGGGGCCTTCGGTGGAGCTCCCTATGGGGCCACGAAACCTGTTGTTGTGAGAAGCGTGCCGGGATGGGTGGAGGGGACGCATATGAGCGCGGGCCGCAGGCCATTACGGTGTAAAGTCCCAATGGGGCCACGAATCTAGTGAGGGGTGTGCCGAAAAATTGGGTTGAGCGGGACGCAGCTGGCGGCATCTGCATGGGGCCTTCCGTGCGAGCTCCCTATTGGGGCCACGACGCTTGTAGGGTGTGCCGAATTGGGTGAGCGGAGACGCAATTCTGCGGCAAGCACTGGGGCCTATCGTGTGGAGCCCTTATGGGGCCCCGAAACGAGATCATTAGATCATAAGAATATTTTATTTTTTGTGTTTATCTAATGTAGAACGTTCTTTTTTATTTATTAAGTTTAATTATTTTTAATGTAAAATAGAGGGGTGTGCCGAATTGGGTGTGGTGACACGCATGCGGTGCGGCAGCACTGGGGCCTTCGTGGAGCTCCCTATGGGGCCACGAAACGTGTGAGGGTTGTGCCGGATTGGGGTGTGCGTGACGCATGCGGGCGGCAGCACTGGGGCCTTCGGTGGGGCTCCCTATGGGGCCACGAAGCGTGTGAGGGGTGTGCCGAATTGGGAGTGCGTGACGCATGCGGGCGGCAGCACTGGGGCCTTCGGTGGGGCTCCCTATGGGGCCACGAAACGTGTGAGGGGTGTGCCGAGAAGGGTGTGGGTGACGCATGCGGGCGGCAGCACTGGGGCCTTCGGTGGGGCTCCCTATGGGGCCACGAAACGTGGTGAGGGGTGTGCCGAAATGGGTGTGCGTGACGCGGCAGCACTGGGGCCTTCGGTGGAGCTCCCTATGATGGATCCACGGAAACGTGTGAGTGGTTGTTGCCCGAATGGTTGTGCGAGACGCAAATGCGGCGGGCAGCACTGGGGCCCTATCGGTGGAGCATCCCTAAGGGGCCACGAAACGTGTGAGGGGTGTGCCGAATTGGGTGTGCGTGACGCATGCGGGCGGCAGCACTGGGGCCTACGGTGGGGCTCCCTATGGGGCCACGAAACGTGTGAGGGGTGTGCCGAATTGGGTGTGCGTGACGCATGCGGGCGGCAGCACTGGGGCCTTCGGTGGGGCTCCCTATGGGGCCACGAAACGTGTGAGGGGTGTGCCGAATTGGGTGATGGCGATGACGATGATGGTGGTGGTGGTGATGATGACGTCGATGATGTCGATGATGATCATGGTGATGGCGGTGATCATGATGGTGATGATGATGACGATGATGATGATGATGATGATGATGATGGGAAGGGGGAAGAGGCAGCGGGAGGAAGGAAGGAGAACGCGGGGCACCGTCTCTTCAAAACGAAGACCCAACACCACAGGATAGTTGGGAAACATGATGGACCCACGAACCCGGAAAGGGATATAGACCTGCGCAGCATGGTCACGTTTTCACGATACCCAACTGGGCGACACCTCACAAAACATCCCACGAGACACCCCGCGAAACATCCCACGAGACACCTCGCGAAACATTCCACGAGACACCTCGCGAAACGTTCCACGAGACACACCGCGAAACATTCCACGAGACACCCCACGAAACATTCCACGAGACACGCCACGAAACATTCCACGAGACACGCCACGAAACATTCCACGGGGGTGCGACTGGGTGTGGTCGTGCTGGGGTGTGGTCTTGCTGGGGTGTGGTCGTGCTGGGGGGGTGGTCGTGCTGGGGGGTGGTCGTGCTGGGGCGTGGTCGTGCTGGGGCGTGGTCGTGCTGGGGCGTGGTCGTGCTGGGGTGTGGTCGTGCTGTGGTGAGGTCGTGCTGGGGTGGCACCGCGAGCAACGACAGGCAACCACTCAACCAGGACAACCACGAGGAGACGCGTAACGCACGCAACGGCACGGGCGCCACTCATCAAACACACAGGGAGTCCGTGGCTGCATCGGTTGAGTGGTTGCCTGTCGCCGCCCCATGGGCGGATCCCCCTCGTAGTCGTCGTCGTCGTCGTCGTCGTCGTCGTCGTCGTCGTCGCGGTCGTCGTCGTCGCGGTCGTGCTGGGAGGTGGTCGTGCTGGGGAGTGGTCGTGCTGGGGCGTGGTCGTGCTGGGGCGTGATCGTGCTGGGGCGTGGTCGTGCTGTGGTGAGGTCGTGCTGGGGTGTGGTCGTGCTGCGGAGCAAGCGTTTCGCTCGAGACATCCTCAACGCACGAAAAAGTGGCCCGCACCCTGTGATTTATCGATCGGGATTTCAAAAACAAACGTTTCGCCGGAGACATCCTCAAATTTTAATCCGCCGGCCTCCTTCGACCTCGATATTTATCAGGGAAAGAATCCACCGGCCTCCTTCAAGTTGGGCACGGGGGGACATTGTTTACATACTAAAAGAGAACCCTGGGCCTTTGCCCTTTCCGGGAAAAACTCCCGGGGCCCCGGGAGATCTCCCCGGGCCCGCATCCAAAAACATCACCGGGTGACCATCGGGAATACCCTGGAAGCGCCGTGCGCTCAGGAAAATCCGAGAGGTACCCCTGGGAATCTGGAAGAAATAGCCCAGAAGAACGCCCGGGCGTTCTTCTGGGCTATTTGCCGATCGCTCGCGCCCCGTCGCCGGGCCCCTGTCCACCGAGCTCCTGGATTACGTGGCCATCCGCCTGGGGCCTGCTCCAGTGCCGGAAGAGCTCGCTCACCGAGTGGGGCGGGAACTTGCTCCTGCATGACAGCACCTCCGACATCATCGACTCGATCTCGCCCATGCCGTCCCACCCGCCGAGGGCGTCCGAGAGCACGATCACCATCACGCGCGGGCGGTCCATTTCGAGCCACGTGTTCGCGTTCACGATGAAGGCCTTGACTGCTGTGAAGTGGGGCTTGCTCGACTCGCCGTCCGGGACGCGAATCTCCCGCTCCAGCATGCTGCGAAACCGCTCGAACTCGCTCTGGTCCGCCGCGCGGGCCTTCCGAGTGAATCCCCTGACCTGCTCCATGATGGCCCCCAGCGGGCGGGTCCTGTTCAAGCATTCGAAGTAGCTGCCGCCCGGCGTCTCGCCGTCCATGCCGAAAATGGCATCGTAGAGATGATGCGTCGCCGGGCCCTGGTCGTCGCTGAAGCGCCCGGAGCGGGCTTCGGTGTACGGCTGGCACGGCGGGCCGCCGACCAAACAATCCGGCGGCGGCCGACCGGCGACCGCTCCCACGTAGGCAGCCATCGACTCGGAGCAGGACGAGATCAAGTCGCCGTGGTTCTGGCTCATGAAATCCCTGGCGTGCTTCTTGATGTCGCACACGGGCACTCTCGCAGTCTGTATGCCCAGGGCCTTGATGGCGAACAGCTCTGCGCCCACGCCAGAGCATACACTGTGCACGTTGAAGCGGCGAGTCGCCCGAGAGGAATCGATGTTGTCGGCGAGCGAATCGAGGATGGGCTTGCTCCACCACTGGATGCTGCTCGTGGCCGTGTCCGGAGCCAAGAGGCCCGCGCCGCCACCGCTGTCTGGCGGCGCGACATCGGTCTCAGACAACCGCCGGAGCAAGTAACGGCGACCCGCGTGCGCGACATCCACGCCGCCCGGCTCTGCATCAGAACTACAACCGCCATCTGCTAGAGATCCGCCCGCGCCAGAAACTGATGGACATAGCTGCTGCGCCCGCCCGCCGACCGGCGCCAACGCCGATCGCGGAGCATGCTCGGCCTCGCGCTGGCGGGCAAGATTCACTGCAACTCGCAACGACATTGTGGATCTTGCTTTCGTCTACTGGGCGCCAAGACGGGTCGTCCAGGTCTCGTCCTCAAGTGGAATTCCACCGCGCTCGGGCGTGGCCAGTGAGCACACGCTCACCGCCTCGTCCACGCCTCGGGATGCCAACTCCTCGAGGTCGGCCAGGACCGCGCCCAAGCGGGCACGCTCCTCCTCGCAGCAGCGCCAGAGGGCATCCGAGCGCGGCCGCCGAGTCAGAATGGCACGAGCTTGCGCGCGAACCTGGAGCCAAATTGCCACCGGGCAATCATGTGCAGAGCAAGGGCGGCGCACGCCGCACGGCCGCACCAAGCCACGGCAGGGCAACCTCGAGTCGCACCACGCCCATTATTGCAACTTCCAGTGGCAGTTGTGCATAACAGCGCCCCCGTTGAGCAAAATGGAAATATAATAGAAATCTGGCCGACCTGCGGCCGGGAGGGCCCCGCGACAATTTTCAAAGCCAAAAGCCTAAGTAAGTAGTTCACGCGAGGACCGCCAGCGGTCCACGACGAACGGCGCCCCAATTTGGGGGGATACCAGCCCGTCGGGTTTCAATGTAAATGGCGATGGCGGAACTGGATCAATAGGACGATCGGGGATCGATGGGGGAGGACGGGGGATCGCTTATCGAGGAGGGGGGATCTAGGTCCTGAGATCGACGCGCACAAGTAAAGGAAGACTGCAATGAAGAGGAAACGCGACGGGGCAGCGAAGACGGAACCCGGAGGAGGATGGAAGATGGATAACGGAGTAACGAGGAGGAGGGAGAGAAACTTGAAAATATATGCACGAAAACATATCCAGGAGGAGGGGGCATCGGAGAAACCATAGGGATCGACGAACGAGGACATATAAAAACGGGAGGAGCAGCAGGATGAGTAGAAATAGTGGATTGAGATCAGCACGATACACATGTGACAAGACGCGCGCCACTGCCCCCAAATGGGGGTGGGCGCCGAAGCGCTCACCCTCCTGCGTGAAGCGGGGCACCCTTCTCCTGTGCTTGCAAGGGCACTCAACGAAACGGGGGGCAGAACTCACAGGTAGAGACCGACTACCGATGTGGGAAAGAGGGGAATTAGGGCAGGGAGGAGGCCTGCAGTGCAAAGGACATCGCAAGGGCTCACCACACACATTGAAGTGACGCGGCCAGTGCGGCGCGCCTCCCATCGGCACCTCTCGCCACCTGCTCGAGTGATTTCGCCGCGAAGCGGGGGGGTGGAGGTCCTAGGAACAGGGCGAAAGAGAGAGTGCGGAAGACGAGGATGGAGGAAGGAACGCGCGGTGCAAGATGGAGGAACATCGAAAATCAACGATCGAGGACCGAAAGCATATTGTCCATATACATATAAGAATGGTATCCCCTTGGTGTCAATATAGCTATTGGCTATGGGGCCCCCCCCAGCAGGCGGGATGGGGGGAATCCGCTACGTTTCCAATTCCCTCTCAAAGGGGCCTTGTTTAATCCCTGCCCCCGGCCAAACCTCCCGCCAACTCAGCGTCATTACACCTCCGGCCGCGTACATTAGAGATGTTTGTATGCTGCCATCTTGGATCGTCCAACAGCTTGCGCCACGTGATTTGCGCCAGTGCTTTTGAGAGCACCTCACTCTGTACCCCGCCCCCACCCAACGCACATCGAGCACGGAGAATAGGGAACGAGGAGGAGAGAGGAGAGAGGAAACATAACGGGCCGCTTCCGATGAAAACTGGCAAGGCAAACAAACGAAACCGGCAATACCAGAGCACGCAATACTGAGCAACCAAAGACCCGGCGTAGAACAAACCTGACCAAACAAGAACGGGAAGCGTCCTTTTGTCCCCTGGGCTTATGAGATATTCCACGTTTTTAGTACGGCATACCACAGCAGTGCCACGTACCACTGCCGTGCTTCTTTGGGGTCTGCCGTGCTCCTGTGGAGTTTGCCGTGCGAACGTGTGGTCTGCCGTGCTCCTGTGTGGTCTGGCGTGCTCCTGTATGGTCTGCCGTGCTCTTGTGGTTTGCCATGCTCCTGTGTGGTCTGCCGTGCTCCAGTGGGGTCTGCCGTGTCCTGTGTGGTCTGCCGTGCTCCTGTGTGGTCTGCCGTGCTCCTGTGTGGTCTCTGCCGTAAAGGCCGTGATATTGTAAAAGGGGCTCCTGGTGGTAGGTCTGGCCGTGCTCATGTGGGTTCTGGGTCCGTGCTCCTGTGCGGTCTGCCGTGCGAACGGTGGCAGCCCTTAAGCTCATTTGGGGTCTGCCTTTGCTCCCTTTGTGGGTTTGCCGGCGGTCCTGTGTGGTCTGTGGAGCTGGGGTGCTCCTGTGTGTGGTCAGCCCGTGCTCCTGAGGGGCTTCTAGGTCATGCTTTTTGGGGTCTGCCGTACTCATTTGGGGTCTGCCGTGCTCCTGTGGTCGGCCGTGCTCATTTGGGGTCTGCCGCGCGCCTGTGAGATCTGCCGTGCTCCTGTTGGGGAAACGCCAGCCGCGTTCGGGGTACAACAAAAAGGCGCGTTTATGTTGTACCCGCGCGCGGTCTGCCGTGCTCCTGTGGGTTCCGCCGTGTTCCTGTGGCGTCTGCCGTGCTCCTGTGGCGTCTGCCGGGCTCCTGTGTGGTCTGCCGTGCTCCTTTGTGGTCTGCCGTGCTCCTGTGGAGTCTGCCGTGCTCCTGTGTGGACTGCCGTGCTCTTGTGGTCTGCCGTGCTCATTTGGGATTTGCCGTGCTCATGTGGGGTCTGCCGTACTCCTGTGTGGTCTGCCGTGCTCCGGTTGTCTGCCGTGCTCCTTTGGGGTCTGCCTTGCTACTGTGGGGTCTGCCGTGCTCCTGTGTGGTCTGCCGTGCTCCTGTGGTTTGCCTTGCTCCTGTGTGGTCTGCCGTGCTCCTTTTGGGTCTGCTCTGCCGTGCTTCTGTGGGGTCTGCCGTGCTCCTGTGGGGTCTGCCGTGCTCTTGTGGGGTCTGCCGTGCTCTTGTGTGGTCTGCCGTGCTCCTTTGTGGTCTGCCGTGCTCCTGTGTGGTCTGCCGTGCTCCTGTGTGGCCTGCCGTGCTCGTGTGTGGTCTGCCGTGCTCCTGTTGGTCTGCCGTGCTCTTCTGTGGTCTGCCGTGCTCCTATGGGGTCTGCCGTTGTTCGGCCGTCTTGAGTGCACTCTTAGGGCATAGTCTGCCGCGCTCCTCGTCTTAGTCTGCCGTGCTCCTCGTCTTGGTCATCCTTTCCGTCGTCTTGAGGGCGCTCTTGGTGCCTGGTCTGCCGTGCTCCTCGTCTTGGTCTGCCGTGCTCCTCTCGGTTCCTACGCCTGGTCTGCCGTGTTCCTCGTCTTGGTCTGCCGTGCTCCTCTCGGTTCCTACGCGCGGTCTGCCGTGCTCCTGTGGGGAGCACGGCAGACCACAGGAGCACGGCAGACCACACAGGAGCACGGCAGACCACACCTCGATTTAGGAGGATGTCTCGAGCGAAATGGCCATTTTGGGAAATCCGCCAACGAAAGATCCCGTGCAGCCCCGCAACCCATATAGTTAAAGATATATATATATATATATATATATATATATATACTCAAGGATTCAGCCAGAACGTCCCGCTTGCTTCTCGTATCTCGAAGACGCTTCCTCGCTTCCCGTCATCCGCCGACCCGCGCAGCTTGCCGTGCGGGTGAAAAGGCAGCGTGAAGACATGCGGCTGCCCCCCCCTTCATCCCCACCCCCAAGTGGACCAAAAATCGAGCATTCTAAGAGGGGTGGGTGCCTGGGGGGGCAGGGGGATAGGTGTAGCTCTGACCACAAGTGCACCCTCGAGGGGGCCCCCGGAGCCTCCAAGAGGGCTCCAAAAGTCCACCAAGACGCTCCGAAAGGGCCCCGATTGGCCGAAAGATCGCTCCAAGATGCTCCAAGACGCTCAAGATGGCCCCAGACGGGCCAAGAGGCCTCCGAGACGCCCCAAGAAGCCTCCAAGAGGCCTCCCAAGAGGGCCCAGAGAGGCTAGAATCATTAATTTTCCATAATGAGTTCGATGTTTTTTGCCTCCTCGCCTTTTCGGCTTCCCGACGCTCCGAGACGACCCAAGAGGCTCCCAAGATCGCCCCAAGACAGCCCAAGAGGCCCCCAAGACGGCCCGAAGATTGCCCAAGAGGGCCCCAAGACGGCCCAAGAGGCCCCCAAGACAACCCAAGAGGGCCCCAAGACAACCCAATGGGGGCCCCAAGACGCTCCAAGAGCGGCCCAAGAAGGCGACCAAGCCCCCCCCCCCTCCGAGAGAGCCCCAGGACGCCCTGAGACGGCCCCAAGAGGTCCCAGGATGCCCCCAGGAGGTTCCATGGAGGCTCCAAGAGGCCCCAAAGAGGCCTCAGAAAGACCCCGAGGAGCCCCAAAACGGCCCTCAGGAGCCCCTCATCTGCACTCAGACAAGCCCGACATAGAAGCAATGACAGATGGACGACCCGGCGGGGGCGCGCAAAGCGCAAAAATCTAATGACCGACGTCGTGTTTCGAAGTGCAATCGACGATTGTCACTGTATCCCCAGGTCCTTGTCTTAACCCTTGCCCAATGGCTGCACGTCGCTTTCCGGAAAGACCTAGCAGCAAAGGCGCCCGCTCGGTCAAACCGAACTGGGTTGGTCGACCGCCGCGCAGTCAACGCCGCAACACATCACAAAGGAGACGCAACAACCAAACACTGCACTGAAAGCTGCGATCAAGGGGTTGCCAGCCGAAGTCAGGCGGGAAGGTCGACTCCGTCGTCCTTCAACTTTTGGAGCGCAGCCTCCAATTCGCGCTCCAACTGCTCGTGAGTGCCGGGGTCAATGTCATTCCGGATATCCGGGTCGACGTGCTGTGCCCTGGCTAGCATTTCATTGAACGGGATCGACAAGCCGCGAACGGCCCAGGCTTTCAACTTGCGGATGCAAAAATCTTCGCTGAAGCCTTCCTTGCCGAATGTCATTTGTTTTTTGCAAGGAGTCTTCGGCTTATGGCCGGGCATCATGGTGTGCTTGCCGCATGCGCAGCCAAACCCGATTTGAACGTCGTCACTATAAACGCGGGCCATCTTAAAATGCCCCCAATCCCATGCACGGTCACCCTTCGCCGCTTTCGCCTTCCCCTTCGCTGCCGCTTTCGCTTTTGCGACGGGCGGCTCGGGGGGCAGCGGCGGCCCCGCAAGTGGTGCTGGGGGCTCAGGTGGTGGAGGTGGTGGAGGCACTGGCGACGCTGGCGCCCCGGGCTCTGGCGACGCTGGCGCACCGGGCTCTGGCGGGACTGCTATGGGAGGCTCGGGCGCGGCTGCGACT